AAATTTTCGAAGCAAGCAAGGAACGTTTTTATATATTTTTTTGATTTTATGTTTCATAGTTATTGTTAATAATTGTTTAGTTTTATTGGAAATATAACTTTAATGCTTGAAAAAAGTTTTTTATAGGCCTATTACCTTAATGTTTTAGTATTTATTCTTTTTTCGCAACCTGGAAAGTTTGCTTCATACACTGAGTAGAATGTTTCAAAAAATTTATTATAAATGTTGTTTGCGTTATCGTTAAAGTCAATATGCTCTCAATGTAGTAGAGATAATTGAGACTTCGAGACGGTTCGAGATTTTTTTTGGTAAAATAACGCTTTCTAGTATTTTTATTTGTCGTTAAAGTATGCGTTGAACCGGTATTAAATGTTAGGCAGTAAATGATCCGGCATTAAAATAGGAAAATGGTCTGATAAATCAGTTTTTACAATACCTGTTTGAATGCTGTAATTGAAAATGTCTGTTGTAACTAAATTATCAATAAGAGTTGATGAGTTTCGTATTACCCTAGTTGGACGATTTATCAGCGGAATCGCTCCCGTTGTAAATAAATCATCATAAAATTTTTTTATTTTATTGTCATAATTGTATAGTAAACAATTCATATTTAAATTTTCAGTATATAATTTTTTTTTCTTTTCATAATTTCATTGTTAATAATTTTTTGTTGTAAATACAAGCTAAAATTTTTGAACGCACCATCAGGTGGCCTGAGAACAACACCTTAAGATAATATTGTTTGTTTCCACTTTGATGAAAATTTCAACGGGTACGATTTCTTTATCGCTGTCAGAAACGCCCCAATACAAAGTGCAATGGTATCTTTTATATAAATCAGAACTCCTCCACTACGTTTATTTGTTTGTCTCTCTAATGAAATTGTTTCAAAATCAAAAAGATAAAAATTAGAATTATTTTTTATATCATTCAACAAACACCAAGTTTCTGTTAAACAAATAATATTAAAGATGTTTTCAGTTTCTTGAAAAAATGTCGAAATTTTTTAAAATTTTTATTTAAATTTCTTATTTTAGTTTGGAAGAGGCTAATTTGTTTACATTTTTTATTTTTTTCATTTTTAAAAAGGAATTGACCTTTCCCCACAAAGCAATGCATTATGGTATTTGTATGTACAGAAAAATCAAAAACTTGCGATTTATAACAGATTTTTTAATTTTTTATTATTTCGTGGCTTGTTCGTTCATAGATAGTAGTTTTCTCTCTTATAATTAATTACATTTAAGGCAAAATCTTTTATAAATCTACAGGAGAATAACTGCATTGTAAAATAAACAAATATTTCAACGAATTTTGTTAGAGAAGCTTGTTTGAAGTATATTTTACAAGTATACATAAGTAAAAGAATATACAATTTACTTTATAAATATTCCTGCTGGATCTAGATTTTTTATAAGCCCTTAGCATTCCACTTAATCCAAAAATTTGTATAATCACAAATAAGGAATTTAACAGTGATGAAAACAAAATAATTTCTAAAGATGTAATTTGATGGCCAAAAGACAACATCTCTGTTTCCGATAACACATCAACATATATTTACTTATATAGTATTAGACTATATTTTAATGTAGTTATAATTAGAGTTAAACCAAATATTTTATTATATAGAATTAAACCAAGGACTGACAATGGCTGTATTATTTATTGAAATTAAATTTGGCCTAAATCACTTTGTGAAATATTTACTAACGAGTAAACTTTAAAATGTTCAAAAGTTTAAGCCTAGTTATAATGGAAAAACTTCTATACTGTCTGGACCATTTTATTAAAATTAATTTGACTGATCAATTTTAAGATAACTCAAAATTTAATGAGAAACTAAAATATACAAATATCAATCAATACAAATAAAGAGCCGTTTACTATAACTGGTGCACAAGCCTCACAGTCAGATTCAGTAACCTCTACATCATACTGTAATGCCCTATGTTTCAATTCAAATATGACTCAGGCTTAGCAACCAGATGATGAATGTATACTCAAAATGACCAAAAAAACTAAAAACAAAAAAGAGTTTGGAATGTTTCAAAAGTCATGGTACACTAAATGGTCGTGGCTAACACTCTGCGTAACAAGGTATAAAGTATTTTGCTTCTATTGTCAATTTATTGAAAGTATCAACAAACTTGACTTGAGCAAAAGAAAGGAACCTGCCTTTGTGACAACAGGATTCGACAATTGGAAGAAGGCAGTTACTAAACTTAATGAGCCCGAACCAAGCGATTCCCATAGGGAAGCCTTATAATAGTACCAGCTTATAAATCAAAAGGCAAAATCTGTAACAAGTCAACTTTTAAAGCAGATTAGACAAAGCCAGAGTAAAAGAAAGCAAATGTTTTTAGTAGAACTATTGTCCTTGAGTTTCTTCTGCGTCAAGATCTTGCAAGACGCGGTCATACAGAAACAGAGAGCAACCTTAAACAAATGATTTTACTGAGATCTCAAGATGTAAAAGCGCTACAAAATTGGCCATAGAGCAAAAACTACTTCTCCCCAATAATAGTAAACGAGTGTATAGAACTTTTTGGCCGAGCGGTGATTTTAAAGTTGTTATCACATATCCAGCATTCGAAATACTTCGCCATTATAGGGGATGAATCCAAGGACATTTCTAACAAAGAGCAGCTATCAATTTTTATACGTTGAGTTGATGAAAATTATGATGTGCACGAGGACTTCCTTGGTCTATATAAACTAGAGCTATTCGATGTCGACTCTTTAACAAAAACTGTTAAAGATGTTCTACTCCGATTTTCGTTAAGTTTAGAAAACTGCCGTGGCTAAGCTTATGATGGAGCAGCAAATATGACAAGACATTTACGTGGCCTAGCGGCTCAATTGAAAGAAGAAAGCAACGCAGCAATTTCTGTCCATTGCTTTGCATATTGTTTAAACTTGTGTTTGCAAGACTATACAAGACAATGTACTTTGGTCCGGGACAGTCTTTCACTTGTATCTGAAATTGCTAACATGATAAAGAATTCACCTAAGAAATTTACTTTCTTAGGTGAATTCTTTCTTTGATAAAATCAGATATCGTTTTATAACAATGACGGAGGTCCCATTAAGAATCTGAAGCCATTGTGTCCTACTCGCTGGGCTGTTCGCTCTAGTGCCATTGAAGCATTAGCATGTTAGAAAAAACGAATTACAAGTCTGTTATAAATGCAATGGCAGAAATTGGAGAATTGGTATCAGATAACTCTGGGTCCAAAGCGAGGGAAATATTGCAACAGCTTCAAAAAATTGAAATATATTTTAGTATGAAAATGTGTTTTCTTTTTTTTAATGCAACAGAGCAGGCTTTAGGTACGTTGCAAACGAAAGCATTGTCCTTAACTGAAGCTATGAAGTGTGTCACAAAACAGTATTTGCAAAGATTAAGAGATACATCGTTTAATCAGTTTTACAAGGAAGTAAAATCTGAAGCTGATGATTTGGAAGTAAGTGAGCCGTCAATTCCACGGACTCGAAAACAACTACGGTGGTTAGATTCTGGCCCAGGACCTCATATTTTCACAGATGTTTTTGATTATTTCAGACAAAAGTTTTATGAAGTCGTTGATCTTTGATTGGTGAACTTGACCTAAGGTTTCAGCAGCCATCTGTAAAAAACGCCATTAATATGGAAACGCTTTTATTGAACTTGGCAAACTTAGAGTCAGAGACTATCGAGATAGATCCATCACTGTTAAAAATGTACCCTGACATTGACTAGACAAGGTTAACATAGCAACTTCATATGCTACCTGTATTAATCAAACAGAGCAAAAGCAACAAAGTAAAGTCAATTACTAAGATAACAACCATCTCAACATTAGTTGAAATATTTGCTGAAAATGATGCATCTAAAAAGTTTGATGAAGTGTCTAAAGTTCTAAGAGTCTTTCTTACTATACTGGTCAGTACAACAACATCAGAAAGATCATTTTCCAGTCTAAGGAGGCTAAAAACATATCTTCGTTCTACTATGAATCAAAAAAGATTAAACAGCATCATTGTGAATCATATTCATAAAGATATTTTGGAAGAAGTTGACGTTAACACTATTTACAAAGATTTGTAACGGCAAATGATGAGCGTCAACGATATTTTGGAAAACCATAGTGTTTGTTTCACGTATTACGAACTTAATAAATTATGTTATATTTAATGTATTACTTTATAATTATATTATTGTAATATTTAATTATTTTGTGCTTAGTTTATTACATTATTAATGTAAAACTGTCTTAACAATTATCAAAAGCTATTAAATATTTGTTGAAGGTAAAATATATAAATCAATAGGAGCGCCAAGAGTAATATTTATAATAAGATTAATAACATTGCGTGTAATAAATAATTTAATAAATAGATCATTTTTATCTATTTTGCTGTACCATACAAAATTGAGAAACTTTTTCCTTTCTAACATATGTCTTTAGCCCCCCCAACTTTAACGACCTTCCTACGCCACGGCATATATATATATATATATATATATATATATATATATATATATATATATATATATATATATATATATATATATATATATGTATATATATATATATATATATATATATATATATATATATATATATATATATTTATATATTTATATATTTATATATATTTATATATTTATATATATATATATATATATATATATAATATATATATATATATATATATATATATATATATATATATATATTTATATATATATATATATTTATATATATATATATATATATATACATACATATCCCAAGTAGCAAACAATATTGGCACAATATTGGCGCGATATTGGGTATCTTGGCCTAGATTGGCCAAGATACGCAATATTGCGCCAATATTAGCAAACAATATTGGCATATCAATATTGGCCAATATTAGCATACCAAGATTACGCCAATATTATTTTATTGCTATTGGAATATAATATTGGCGCAATATTGACATGCCAATATTGGCCAATATTGATATGCAAATATTGGTGCAATATTGTTTGCCAATATTGGCCCAATATTGTTTTGTTTTTATTACTCAAATATTGGCCAATATTGAGATTTTTACATATTGGTACGCAGGCGTAACATTATTGCTTATTCATAATGTCCTTTAGTTTTGTCCTTTGATGTCCACAATACTTTTAATAGAATATTTACAGATTGAATCACGAGAAGAAGTGGTTTTAATTTATTTAAAAACAGATTGTATCACGAGAAGAAGTGGTTGTAATTTATTTAAAACAGATTGAATCACGAGAAGAAGTGGTTGCAGTTCATTTAGAAACAGATTGTATCACGAGAAGAAGTGGAAAAATATTTCTGTGCTCTAAGATAAAGATTGAAATAGTAAGTTTACTTTTATATAAAAACAGTTTGAGTTAATTACATCTGCAAGATTTGTAAAGTCTATTTTATTTTGTTGAATATATTCAATTAAGTTAAAGATATTCAATTAAGTAACAAATACGTCATATAGTTTACCTTTTAATAAGTTTGTAAATGAATAAATTTTAAATAAGGTATTATTAAATCTTGATTTAATAATATATGTATATATATATATATATATATATATATATATATATATATATATATATATATATATATATATATATATATATATATATATATATATATATATATATATATATATATATATATATATATATATATATATATATATATATATATATATATATATTTATATATATATATAATTTTATTTTATATAGCATTTTATTTTATGCTTAAGTGTTATATAATGTTATAGGTAATGAAAAAATCAATAAAAACAACTCGATCTGCTAAATCACATTATATTAGAAGAGTAGTAAAGCAACATTTAAATGAAATTCACTCAACAAGTAATGTTGAAAATACGAATCACTCAACAAGTAATGTTGAAAATACGAATGAATTACTTAACTGTGGAAATGCAATAAACTTCAGTGATGAGTCTATTAACCATAATATGTTATATCAAAATTCTTATAATTATTTGGCTGAAGACACATTAAAATCCTCAAATGTTGAGTTTGGTGACATATCATATTTTGATGAAAACCAACCCTCGAATTTGACAAATAGTTCTGATGATGACTGTAACATAACTGATGATGAGCATGGCTACTATCCTTCATGTTCCAGTGACAATGAAGAAGCTCAGGATGAAGTTACTTTGAAAGAACTGCTTATTTGCTGGTCAGTCAAACACAATGTAACACATAGTGCTTTATCAGATTTACTAAAAATCTTGTCAAAACAACATCCAGATTTGCCCAAAGATAGTAGAACCTTATTGAAAACAAAAAGCAGTTCTGACATTATTATCATGCAAGACATGTTTGGGCAAAAGGCAGAGTTTGTTTATTTTGGTTTGAAACATCAGTTAATTAGTTTGCTAGTGTTTAACAGCATTGAAAGCTGCAAAGTTAGTTTATTGTTTAGCATTGATGGATTGCCTTTGTATAAGAGCTCTGGAAAACAGTTTTGGCCAATACTTTGCAGTGTTACAATTGGTGAAAATATTTATAAACCATTTGTAGTTAGCATATTTTGTGGCAACAGCAAACCTAAAAGTTCAGCTATTTTTCTAGCTAGTTTTGTAGCTGAATTCAATGTTTTGAAGAAACAAGGTTTATTTATAGGTGAAAATCACTTTACCATTCATGCTAAAGGCTTTGTGTGTGATGCACCTGCACGCGCTTTTGTTAAATGTATAAAAGGACATAATGGGTATTATGGTTGTGAACGATGCATTCAAAAGGGAACTAGGGTAGATAATAGAACTGTATTTCCTGATGTAAATGCAATGAAGAGAACAGATGCTTCCTTTGCATTATTCCAGCAAGTTCAGCATCACAAACCAGATGCAGTACCCCCACTGTTAGAGCTTAATATCGGTCACATCTCTCAATTTCCACTAGAATATATGCATCTAGTTTGTCTTGGTGCCACACGAAGGTTACTTCTGCATTGGCTTCGTGGAAAACGTGCGGTAAAAATAAGCACGCTAATTGCTGATTTAATTTCAAATGGATTAAAAAATTTGGCAGCATATGTTACTGTTGAATTTGCACGTAAACCAAGATCACTAAAAGACATTGATCGATGGAAAGCCACAGAATTTCGTCTATTTTTGTGTTACCTTGGACCTCTTGTATTACGAAGCCATCTTACCAATAATCTGTACCAGCATTTTATGTTATTGCATGTCGCAATTAATATTTTAGCTAATCCAAATATGTGCTGGACGCATGTTGATTATGCAGAAAAATTGTTAAATATATTTGTCATGCAAATGCCAGATTTCTATGGCAGCAGCTCAATAAACTACACAATGCACAGCCTTTGTCACATTTGTGATGATGTAAGACAGTATGGTTCACTTGATGAGTATAGTGCATTTCCTTTTGAAAATGCTTTAGGCATTATGAAACGATTGTTACGAAGTGGCCACATGCCATTGCAGCAGTTGTGT